TTATGGTGTTTTTGGGTAAGAGTGGAAATTCCACAACACTAAAGAGTTGACTTCTGCATACTCCTTTATTCATCTAGTTTTAGTGTATTACAATTCTGTACTTTACATGCATATGGTTAAGTGAGTTTATGGGTACTATTACTTAGTTTTAACAAAACTAAAAAGTGGACATGTGGCTTAAAAAGAATACTAATAAGGCAAACATAAACAACAAGAAAATGGTGAAGGACGATATATATACCTCAATATGAATACTTTATCTGCCATATTTAGAGGATAAAAAAATAGTGATGTGTAATCAGATTTGATTTTTAATCACATTATTATCACTAAAATACATTATTATCATTATTCTTTTTTTTTCCTTTATTTTTGTGACTGGCAAGTATGAGGATCTGAACCCTTGACCTTGGTGTAACACGGCTGTGCTCTAACCAACTGAGCTAACCAGCCAGCCCGTATTATTCTTCTTAATGAGAACAGACGGTTTTTATTTTCTGAAGAAAAAAAATTATTTAACATTTTATTTAATCTTCATTCCATTCTTTTAATTTCTATTTTCTCTGTTTTATAATATATAACATTATAGAAGAACATATATAATTTATACATATATTTAAATGTATTCTCAAGAATATTTTATGAAGAAGTATGCATGATCAAAAAAATCTGTAGACCACTGTCCTAGAAACATTTTTGCAAAGTGCACAACAGACATGTACAGTGGTATTCAATGCATTATTGTTCATAATAAAGAAAAACTGGAATCTACATTAATATTTATTAAAATGAGAAAGTATAAGTACATTGTATTTTTTAAAATAGTAGTGATATGGTATATGAAGATAGGTTGATAAATTAGAGTTAACTATCAAAATGAATACATTTTTAAAAAGATAATGTTGAACTAAAAACTCAAATTCCAGAGGATATGTACATTATAATGTCATAAATACAAAGCAAAAAAAAATGCAAACCAATATTATATATTCTTTATCAACATATACAAATAGAGCAGAGGAATCAAAACATTCATAAAAATGATTTATATAAAATTCATGATAGTTCTTCTGCTGAGGGCATGGAACGGGCTTGGGAAGGGTATACAGGATACTTAAATTATATCTATAATTGTATTTCTTTAAAAACAAAGAGACAAATCAAATAAAGCAAAATATTAAGGCCCAATAAAGTAGGGTGATGATTACAAGGGTAGTAGGTATATTATTCTCAAAACTTTTTCATATGCTTGAAATAAATCTCTCATAATAAAATAGTTTAACTCTCAGAATTCCTATTTTCTCTGACACACAAAGTATTTATTTATTTAAAAGATGACTGGTAAGGGGCTCTTAACCCTTGACTTGGTGTTGTCAGCACCACACTCTCCCAAGTGAACTAACCGGCCATCCCTATGTAGGGATCCGAACTTGTGGCCTTGGTGTTATCAGCACCACACACTCCCAAGTGAGCCACGGGCCGGCCCCAAACACATAGTATTTAAATATCATACATGCTTCCTAACACAACGGAATGAGGCAATATTCATCATGGAACTTTATGACTGTAATTCTAAAAGACTTTGTTAAGAATACTTTGTACTCCACTGCTTTGCTATTATACTTTACCCATCTATTATGACACTTAACACATACTTTATATTGCAGTTAGGTTTATACAGATCTATCTCCTGAAGTAGGTTAAATTGTGACAAATATCTTATTTTATTGTTATTCTTGAAGATGACCAGCATAATATCTTGTATCTAATAGGCCCCCAAAGAATGTTTATTAATTAATATAGAAGAATCTAAATGATTTAGATACTATTATCTGCACTCTTCCATTATAACTTTTATAAAGTACAATTGCAATCCTAGATAATGATTTACATTATTAATTCTTATTTGTAGATTATATAATTTTTGTTTGTTTGTTTGTGGCCAGTACGGGGATCCAAACCCTTGACCTTGGTGTTATCAGCACCACGCTCCACTGAGTAAGTTAACTGGCCAGCCCAGATTAATAAATTGATGTGACCTTATCTTTCTCCTGCTGCAAAAATAATGTAGAGGATTGCTATGTTCAAATAAATAGAATTTCATTTAATTAACATCAAATGCTTATTAAGTGTTGAGGTTGTGGCTATCATATTCAACATCATATTCTTAGTTAGTAATATAGTGCCTTTAAGATAAAAAATATCTGAAAAATATTTGTTGAATAAATCAATAAGTAAAAGATGCAGATATGGCAGACAGGGGAGAGTAACAAACAGCATGGGCAATTAGGAGATGACATGTGAGTTGGGTTTTGATGGATGAGTAGAAGTTTTCCAGGGCAAGGGAAAAGAGAAGGAACAGCATGTGTAAAGGTATGAAAAAATGCAACGTGTAATTTGGAGAATTACAAATAGTTTGGTATTTTTTGAGATTTATAAACAGCAAGCCATCGACCTCTGGGTGGTATGACTGGCTACTATGTTGGGGAGGGTGGACTCTACCCTGTGTGGACAAAGGGGTACCACAAAAGGGTTTTAAGAAGGCCAAAGGTAATCACACTTACATTTTAAAGGATCACTCTGGTGCCAGTGTGGAGATCAACTGGAGTAAAGTAGAACTAAAGATATGGAGAATTATAAAATCTGGGGATTACCACAGTTGGAGGAAGGGGGGGGGCGGGGAGAGAGTGAGAGAGAGAGAGCGTGCACGGGAGCACTAGGGGTGAGACAGTGAGTGGCATGGGGATGGGCAGATGGGGAATTTAAAAAAGATTTAGCCGTGGGCCGGCCCGGTGGCGCACTGGATAGTGCGCAGCTTGGGAAGTGCGGCGGCGCTCCCGTCCGAGGGTTCGGATCCCACGTACAGACCGGCTCCCGCTCACTGGCTGAGCGAGGCGCGGGAGCAACGCCGAGGCTTGCGATCCCGTCGCCGGTCCCCGGTCCGGTACGGGGGCAACACTGAGGGTTGCGATCTGTTGCAAAAAAAAAAAAAAAAAAAAAAAAAAAAAAAAAAAAGATTTAGCCGTTCTGTGGAATACTATTCAGCAACAAAAAGGAATGAAATATTAACACACACAATTAACGGCATGAATGAATATCAAAAATGTTATGCAAGGGCTGGCCCGGTGGCGCACTGCTACAGTGCGCTGCTTGGGAAGTGCGGTGGCGCTCCCGCCGAGGGTTCGGATCCCACATACAGACCGGCCGCTCACTGGCTGAGCGAGGCGCGGGAGCAACACCGAGGGTTGTGATCCCTTGCCGGTCCCGGCCCGGTACGGGCGTGACACTGACTGTTGCGATCCGTTGCCGGTCACAAAAAAAGGCAAAAAGGCAAAAAGGCAAAAAAAAAAAAAAAAACGTTATGCAAAGTGAAAGCAGTTAAACACAAAAGCCTATGTACTGAGGGCCGGCCCGGTGGCGCACTGGATAGTGTGCCGCTTGGGAAGCGTGGCGGCGATCCCACCCGAGGGTTTGGATCCCACATACAGACCGGTTCCCGCTCACTGGCTGAGCGAAGCGTGGGAGCAACGCCGAGGGTTGCGATCCCGTTGCCGGTCCCCAGTCCAGTACGGGGGCAACACTGAGGGTTGCGATCCGTTGCCGGACATGGAAAAAGACAAAAGACAAAAAAAAAAAAAGCCTATGTACTGTATGATTCTATTTATATGAAATCCTAGAAAAGGCAAAACTATAGTGACAGAAAGTGGATCAGTGGTTGGCTGGGGTCAGAGGTGGGGGAAGAGTCAATTCAAAGGGCATGAGGAAGATTTTAGGATGAAAAAAACTATTTTACATCTTAACTGTTGTTACACACTTACATAACTACCAAATTCATCAAATGCTACATTTAAATAGGTGACTATTATTAAATGTAAGTAACACCTTAATAAGTTTTTTTTTAAGTGAAAGAAAGAAAAACAAAGATTTAGGAGGTAGAATCAATAGAACTAGGTATAAGCATATTTTGCTTTATATTGTGGCTGTGTTTCTAGAAAAGATGTGTAAAAATAAAATTGAAAATATTCTAAGGGAACTATCCAAATTAGTTTTCAAACTATTTTCAGATTGAGAGTTTCAAACACATACAGAAGTTGGCAGAATGATATAATGACCCCTATATACTCAACATCCACTTTTAACAATAATCAATTCATGGCCAATTTTGTTTCATTTATACAATGTTTTCCTTCTCTCCTGATCCTCAGTTATTCTGAAGCAAATGCCAGACATAATATTATCTTGACAATGAACATTTTAAAGTCTAATAAGTAATGACACTTTTAAAAACGTAACTACAGTACCACTATTAAACCTAAAAAATTAATAATTCTTAAGTTTTATCTAATATCCAGCTAGAATTCAAATATACAATTTTCTGACAGTTATAAATTTTCATTTTTATAGTTTGTATTAATCAAAATCCAAATAAGGGCCATGTATTGCAATCAGTATGCTTTTTAAGTCCATTTTTTTTTTTTTTTGTCTTTTGTCTTTTTCCGTGACCGGCAACGGATCGCAACCCTCAGTGTTGCCCCCGTACCGGACCGGGGACCGGCAACGGGATCGCAACCCTTGGTGTTGCGCCCGCACCTCGCTCAGCCAGTGAGCGGGAACCGGTCTGTATGTGGGATCCGAACCCTCGGGCGGGAGCGCCGCCGTGCTTCCCAAGCGGCGCACTATCCAGTGCGCCACCGGGCCGGCCCTTTAAGTCCATTTTTTATAAATTCTCTTTTCTTCCTCGCAATTTATTTGTTGACCAATCTGTATATTTCTTAATGTAAGAAATCCTTTTATTATGTAAATAAGCACCTCCTAATTTAATGGGTTTCTTTATTTGGATTGTTTTATAATTACTCTTTTAATATTTTAGTTGCATTCCAGGAATGTTTTGATAAAGCCATAGATTGCTGACATATTTTTGCTTTTGGCAATTTGTCTCAAGGGCAGTAATCCTATGACTAAGAGGAGTTTGGACATTGACAAAGGTGTCAATCACTTACAGTTGTTTGGAGATCATCTGTTCTACCAAGGAATATATTCAGTGTTTCTTCTCTTTCCAAAATTGTATCAATATTTTGTGTCATAACATGTTTTACATCAGTCACTTGACTCACTGTGGAAATAGTGCTGTCATCTTGATTTTTATTGTATTTCATCTGTATAAAAGTGAAACACAAATTTTATTTTTTATAAATGAAATCCATGGGAATATATTGTACAAATTGGAATAAAAGTATCAAAGGCACATCTCACTTGTACTTCAGCATAAGGAATCAACTAAACTTCAAATTGTCCCATCTTAATCTTACAAAAATGGGGGAAGGGAAGGGAGACAATGTATTCAATCAGCAGTGGAAGGTTTCTTTTTGAAAAAATCTAAATTGTTTTTTTTTAAAGACTTTAGTTTTTAGAGCACTTTTAGGTTCATGTAAAATTGAGCAGAAAGTCAGAGATTTCCCATATACTCACACCCACCCACAGCTTCCACATACCCACAGCCTTCCCATCAATATCCTGCACCAGAGTGGTACAATTGTTACAACTGATGACCCTACACTAACACATTATCACCCAGCGTCCATAGTTTACATTAGGGTTCACTCTTGGTGGTGTACATTTTGTGGGTTTGGGCAAATGTACAATGACATGTATCCACCATTATAGTATCATACAGAATAGTTTCACTGCCCTTAAAATCCTCTGTGCTTCACCTATTCATGATTCCCTCCTCCTTAGGCCCTGGCAACCACTGATTTTTTTTTTTTTTTTGCTGCCTCCACAATTCGCTTTTTCCAGAATGTCATATAGTTGGAATCATATGGTGTGTAGTCTTTTCAGATTGGCTTCTTTCACTTAAAGTTTCCTCATGTCTTTTCATGGCTTGATAGCTCATTTCTTTTTAGCACTGAATAATTTTCCATTGTCTGGATGTACCGCAGTTTATTTATCCATTCAACTACTGAAAGACATTTTGGTTGCTTCCAAGTTTTGGCAATTACGACTAAAGCTGCTGTAAACAGCTAGTTTTTGTGTGGACATGTTTTCAACTCATTTGGGCAAATATCAAGGAGCACAATTGCTGGGCTGTATGGTAAGAGTATGTTTAGTTTTGTAAGATACTGCCAAACTGTCTGTACCATTTTACATTCCCACCAGAAATGCATGAGAGTTCCTATTACTCTATATCCTTGGCAATATTTGATGTTATCAGTCTTTTGGATTTTGGCCATTTTAATAGCTATGTAATGGTATTTCATTGTTGTTTTAATTTGCAATAATTCTTGTGCTTATTTTGTCATCTGTGTACCTTTTTTGATGAGGTATCAGTTCAGGTCTTTTGCCCATTTTTTAATCGGGTTTTTTGTTTTCTTATTGTTGAGTTTGTTGTATATTTTAGATAACAATTCTCTATCAGACTTTTTGCAAATATTTTCTCACAGTCTGTGGCTTGCCTTCTCATTTTCTTGAGAGTGTCTTTCACAGATCATTTTAATTTTTTAAAGTTTAAAATATCTTTTTTTTTTAACAAGTTCTGTATTTCCTGAGTGTCTAAGCAAAACAGTGTATATTCTTTGGAAATAATGTTTTGCTAAAAAGAAAATCCTAATATTAATTTTTCATTTTTAGTGTTTTGCTGGTAGCATAAGTAATTTGTTTCAATCCTGAAATCCTCTATAGCTCAATCCATGGTGTTAAGAAGACAGGATCAGTGTGCACAGGGCCTCCACATAAGAGGTAATCAATACATATTTACTAAACGAAGCAATGATTTGACATTTGTCTAGGCTCCGAATGTGTGAAAACTGACTTGAAGAGTTATAAAGGATGAGTAGGACATAGGCAATAAATAGTTCATCTTCTCTAGAGTTCTAAATTTGCTGCATTTTGTCCACTCACCAACCTCGCCATTCTCAGTTTCATGTTTCCAGTGATGCCATGCCATCTCATGTGTGACGTGTGCTGTATGTGCCACATGTGGCCAGGGCTACAGATTGATAATCCCTTCTTTTAAAAACACCGTTTCTGTTTTTTAGGTGGTCATCATAGTGAGAAGACATTCTCTTGTAAATATCTTGAGGTTTGTCCCTAATCAGCAATGTTTCTCAACCTTCCACAAGACAGTGGCTGTACTTTTCCATTTTTTTTCAGAGATCTCTACATTGCATCTTCTATAAAAAGAGTTTGATATAGGATATGTACTTTTTAGAAGTCAGAAGAGCAGATATATTTTGAGTACATTTTTAAACTAAGAACTGCTCATGTATAGATAATTTAGATTTGAGCATAGTTATGCTAGTTTAACATAATAAAAATACATTATTAAACATACTTAAGAAGATTAATGATTGCTTGCCCTTGATATCCAGCATGAGAGGTTACAGTAAACATGGTATAGCACGTTTAAGTTTTTATTCTGGTTTCTATTCTTTTTTCTCATAAAATAAAGTTTTTAATTTTAATGAAGTCCAGCTTATTATTTCTTTCATTGATCATGTTGTACCTAAAAAGTCATCTTCATACCCAGGGTAACCTAGATTTTTTCCTGTGGTATCTTCTAGGAGTTTTGTTTTGCATTTATGTTTAGGTCTATGATCCATTTTGAGTTAATTTTTGCGAAGCATGTAAGGTATGTGTCTAGTTTCATGTTTAGGAATATGGATGTCTAGTTGTTCCAGCATCATTTGTTGAAAAGACTGTCTTTTCTCCATTGTACTGCCTTTGCTCCTTTGTCAAAGGTCAGTTGACTATGTTTATTATTTAGTCATAAATATAGTCATACAATGTCCTTTATATCATTTCTGCCATTCATTTCTTTTTATAATCATTGAATATATTGTTGCTATGATTATTTTGAACAAACTATTACCTGTTAGATCAATTCAGATTAAGAAACTAAAAGTTCATATTTTACCTCTAACTATTCCTTCTCTGATGTTCTTCATTTCTTTACATTTATAGTTTCTCTATTCTGTTCCACTAGTCTATGTTTATTCTTTCATCAAAACCACACTGTCTTGATTACTATAGCTTTATAGTAAGTCTTGAAGTCATGTAGTGTCAGTCCTCCAACTTCTCTTTCAATATTGTGTAAGCTGTTTCTGGGTCTTTTACCTCACCATATAAACTTCAGTATTAGTTTTTTTAACATCCACAAAATACCTTGCTGGTATTTTGATTGGGATTGCATTCAATCTATAGATGAAGTTGGAAAGAACTGTCATGGGATACCCCTCCATTTATTCAGTTCTTCTTTGATTCTTTCCTCAGTGTTTTGTAGTTTTGCTCATATAGATCATGTGAATATTTGATTAGATTTATACCTAAGTATTTAATTTGGGGGGGTACTAACGTAAATGGTATTGTGTTCTTAATTTCAAATTCCATTTGTTCATTACTGGTAAATAAGAAAGCAATCGACTTTTGTACGCTAACCTTGTATTCTGTAATGTTGCTGTCATCACTTATTAGTTGCAGTTTATTGGTCAATTCTTTAGGATTTTCTATGTAGGCAATCATGTCATCTACAAACACAGTTTTATTTCTTCCTTTACAGCCCATATATGTTTTATTTCCTTTTCTTGTCTTATTGCATTCAACTCTGATGCTGAAAAGCAATGGTGAGAGGGGATATCTTTCCCTTGTTGCTGATCTCAGTGAGAAAGCTTTGAGATCTCACCATTAGGTATGGTGTTAGTTGTTTCTTGTAGATATTTACCAAACTGAGGAAGTTCCTCTTTATTTCAAGTTTACTGAGAATTGTTATTAAGAATGGGTGTTGGATTTTGTCAAATACTTTCTCTGCATCTGTTAATATTGATCACGATTATCTTCTTTAGCTTGCTGATGTGGTAAATTACATTAGTTGATTTTCCACTGCTGAATTAGCCTTATATACCTGGGATAAATCCCATTTGGTAGTGATGTATAATTCTTTTTATACATTGTTGTAGTCAACGTGATAATGTTTTGTGAGGATTTTTGCATCTATGTTCACGAGAGATATTGGTCTGTAGTTTTCTTTTCTTGTAATGTCTTTGGTTGTAGAGTAATACTGGCCTCAGAAAATGAGTTAGGAAGTATTCCCTTTGCTTCTATCTTCTGAAAGAGATTGTAGAAAATAGCCACAATTTCTTTCATAAAAGTTTTAGATCCTTTCTGTTTTGGAAGGCAATTAATTATTGATTCAATTAATTAATTAATTAAGTTCTGGTGGCTGGCTGGTATGGGGATTTGAACCTTGACCTTGGTTTCATTATCATGATTCAATTTATTTAACAGATATGGTCTATTTCTTTCTTTCTTTTTTTTTTTTTTTTTTTTTTTTTTTTTTTTTTTTTTTTTTT